CGCGGGAGCAACACCGAGGGTTGCGATCCCGTTGCCGGTCCCTGGTCCGGTACGGGGGCAACACTGAGGGTTGCGATCCGTTGCTGGACACGGAAAAAGAAAAAAAAAAAAAAAAAAAAAAAGGGGGGGGAGAAGCACAGTTATTGGTAGGAACATTTTTAAGGCTTGTGATGATCAGTGCCATGTTCCTTTCCAGATCTATTCTAATATACGTTTCTTCTAGACAGTGGCTGAGTGTGCAAGTTAGCTGTGCCTTTGCCAATTCTGGTATTATCATTCACAGGGTATCTTAGTCCATTTGTGCTGCTATAACAAAAAACTTTAGACTGGGTAATCAAAAAAGAACAGAAATTTATTTCTCACAGTTCTGGAGGCTGAGAAGTCCAAGATCAAGGCACCAGCAGGTTTGGTGTCTGGTGAGGGCCTGGTCTGTGCTTCCAGAATGGTGCCTTGAATGTTGTTCCTCCCATGGTGGAAGGGTTGGAAGGGCAGAGGACTGAATGCTGTGTGAAGCTTCTCTCATAGATACCTTAATATCCTGTTCACGAGGACAGAGCTCTCATGACCTAGTCATCTAAAGGCCCCTCTTAATTCTATCACTGAAGATTAAATTTCAACACATATTTCAAAGGAGCACAAACATTCAGACCATAGCACAGAGCAATAGGGAATCAATCACGATTTGATAAAAAATGAAAATTTATCTATCTGGTAGTATTTTTCTATCCCATTACTATACTCTTTTTTTTGGTGACAGTGTGGCTTAGTGGTTAAAAAAGGAAGTTTTAGAGTCAAGCAGATTTGAGTTCACACCACACCTCTGTCACTCCAGAGTGTGAGACCTTTGATAATTTGCTTCATCTCAGTAAGTCGCAGTGGCATTGCCTGTAAAATGGAAATAATATTACCTAATAGTATTTGTATATATATCAGACAAGATAAGGTTTTAAAATGATTAGTTCAGATTTTGCAACATAGCAAGTATTCAGTATATGATATGTATGATTGTTGCGTTTGTTGCTCAGGCCAAATGTTAGTATTTAGGATAGAGCCTTGCTTGGGATAGTCATCTTTTAGGAGACTACGTAGTACGTGATTCAGAATGTTGGCTTTAGGGTCAGATTCACCTGTGTTCATTTCCCAGTTTTTCTTTCTTTCAACACTGCTTTGCTTATCTGTAAAGCAAGGATTATAATCTCTACCTCACAAAGTTCTTATAAGAATTAAATGAGCATTTACCGTAGTACAGACTCACTAAATTATTGCTGCTATTATAGGAAGCAATATAATGTAGTGGTAACAACAGAGGTTGATCTAGGAAAAGTTACTTAATCTGTCTAGGCCTCTCTTTTATCCTTTGTAAAAGTGATCAGAATAATGACATGGTTGTTGTATGGATTAAATAAGAGATAACACACACAGTCATTTAGTATAACAGCTAATTCATAGCACTTGTTAACAAGTATTGTATAGATGTTGTGGATACATAACATACAATGCACGTGCTCCATTTGTGGTTAGGTATAATACAGATTGGTGAATATGTTACTTTGCTACCATTGTAAAGAAGTGTAAAGCATCCAGAATCTTCCTCCAGTGAATCTTCTGTAGATTCTGTAATGTTTGCATACTCACTGTAAATGGTAACACTTCCTTTTGCCATCCCTTGCAAAAATATGACGTCAGTCACACAAAGGAATTATTTTTTTAAGTGTCAAAAATAAAGTGTTTAGATTGAGAAAATAACCTATATGTTAAATGTGGAAGGAAAAATGAGGGCACTGTGTAGTCAAATTGAGGGCATTTTTAGATGCTTTCTTCTTACAAATGGAAAGTTTGGAAAGGAAAATTTGAGAGGCATAGGATTGTGTTGTCAAAGATTGTTTGTGTTGGGAACATCTCTTTTCCACAGAGCACAGCTTTCAGAAATGTTAAAGCAGGTTTTTTTGTTTTTGTTTTTGGAGGTGCTTCTGTGTTTTAAAGTCTTTCTAAAAAAAACTCTCAGAGTTTACTTTTCAAACGCATAAAAATAAGAGCTTCTTGTGCTGTCATGTTCCAATGTTTTATTTGATGACATTATGACTGAGTCAATTCAACCTGTCTTTATCTCCTTTTTTACTTCCTAACCTTGCTTGCTTCACTTTCTAGGGAAATCCAGTTAATTGTAGGAAAGGAGTTATGTCAGTTTTGGAATATCAAGAGTTTTCCCAGTATGGGCTGTGATTTATGCTTTTCAAAAGTTTCTTGGTTGCAGTCAGGTTTAAGTTTCCCTTAAATGAAAAAAGTTATAGAAGTTTTCTAATAGTTGTCTTAGGCTTGGTATGTTCTGTCCATTATAGAAGCTAATGTTGAATGTATATTCATTTTGATATTATTTTAGAACTTGCTAAATTATATGTTATTCTAGCCATTTTCTATTTTTTTCAGCCATTTTCTTCATAAATGGATTAATAACATTGAATACTTCAGCCACGATTTATTCATTTGAAGAAAATTAGCTTTTTTAAGGCAGTTCTTTCTTTTCAAGCCTATCTTATAAGAGGATTTTCTATTTTATTTAGAAACTGTATTCTTTGACTACAGATATTTTTATTTAGGAGTGGTGGTCATTTAGTTTTGGTAACAAAGCATCTCAGTGTCCTGGTTAAATTGTATCTATTGAAGAGCCTTTTGCCTATCTCCATAGCTCAGTTTATTTAACTTCATATTCTTATAGCCAATTCGTTTCATCCATATTAATGGGAAAATACTAACAAAGTCAAAATATATGACCTAATTCTTTAAGTAATTTTTAAAGTAAATTCAAAATCTAAATTGAAATTTTGAATCTGAAATGTAGTGACTGTACATAAAACTAATGGTAATTGAGTTGTACACATTTCTTTAACAGGACAGTCCAGAAAATACTGATGTTTTTTAAAATTTTGTTTTCTGTATTCCAGATAGCAGTCCTTTCCCCTCGTCAATTCCACATGCTTTCCAGATCAACTTCAACAGCTTGTACACAGCTCTGTGTGAACAGCAGACATCTGATCAAGCAACTCTCCTCTTATATACATTGCTCCATCAGAATAGTAATATTAGAACATACATGTTGGCTCGCACGGATATGGAAAATCTTGTAAGTATCATACTAAATGTTACATGCTTTTTGTATTTTACAATATGTTGAAGAAGAATTTCTTTTGCCAAGAAGGTAAGTATGTTTGCCTGGTTGCCACATCGCTGATGGCTGAGCGATTGATAGGGAGATGACGGGCAGGTACAGGCAGAGGGTATGAGTTTCTCCAGTGTATAACATAGCTCACATAGAGATGGCTTCACAGTGCAGATCACAGCAGCGTCCCCAGCTGGCTTGACAAGCCTCCCTGTCCTTGAAGTCTTTAACAGCCTCCACTACTCATGATTTAGCCTGATCAAGTCCTCCAAGAAATACTCTCTGCAATTCTCAAGGAGATTTCTATGTTCTCTCGATCCCTTCCCGCTGCTAAGTGTTTGCTCAACAAGTTCATGTAATGGCACAAGTTCAGCATATTCCTAGTGAGAATGGCCTAAAGGAAAGTGATTTTTCAACTCAGCTGTCTAAGTGTCCCATCCTCTGCCAGGTTTAGACTTTAGGACTATCTGCACTCAATTCCTGGAGTGTTATAGTTATCTTAAGGTACATTTGCCAGATATCACTTAAATGTACACTATCCTTCACCATGTGAGTGAAATTTGTTCCCAAATTTTTGCTCATAGATGAAAACTCTTATAAGCAGTCATTGATTTCCATTGTAACTAATGTACAAACATCAGTGTTTCCATGAGAGGAAAAAGAAACTACCTCACCAATGTGTTAATATTGTGTTTGAAGAACACAGTATATAGATAACCACAGGCTGTTAATGCCTTCATAAAAATGTGAACATTCCTGAAACAACCAGCAGCTGGCTGACAGCAACAGAATGTCCCCTCTATGCCAGTTTTTACAGAACTCTCCAGGTATTTGGTAACCATTTTTTCAGAGTTAAATATAAAATATTGTGTAAATAGTGAGGAAACATGGAATATTAGAATTCATTGAGCATATTCTAATCTACGTCAGAGTGACACTCAGAACAGAAAGGACGACGAGCCTGTCTCCACACCCGCTATATGTGAAAACACTGGCTTAAACAGCAAAACTGAGTGTGAAAGAATACTGCACTTGTGAGTAAAAACGTGTCAAGAGAAGACTTATTTTCTGATGGGTGTGTATAAGCGCAGGGACAATTATAAGTATGACGTATTCTAAGGGAAAAGTTGGCAACAGGCAGACAACCTGTGACATCACCTGTCCTAGGAAGTTCCATGGTAAGGACGTTGGTATATAAGATGGTGCATCCTCATCAGGAAACAAGTCTTCTCTTGACACACTTTTACTCACAAGAGTGGTATTCTTTTACATCCTATTTTGCTATTTAAGACAATGTTTTCCACATGTAGCGGGTGTGGAGACAGGCTCGTCGTCCTTTTTGTTCTGAGTGTCACTCTGACGTAGATTAGAATATGCTCAGTGAATTCTAACATTCCTTGTTTCCTCACTATTTACACAATATTTTATATTTAACTCTGAAAAAAATGGCTACCAAATACCTGGAGAGTTCTGTAAAAACCGGCATAGAGGGGACATTCTGTTGCTGTGTCAGCCAGCCTCTGGCTGTGTCAGGAATGTTCTAATGTTCTCATTTTTATGAAGGCATTAAAAGCCCGTAGTTACCTATGTACTGTCTACTTCAAACACACAGTATTAACACGTTCATGATATACCTGTCTCTATATTTGATGACATACACCAGTGAAAAGTTAAAAGATTTTGTTTTGAATTTTTTGGTGGGGTGGGATGGGGTTTGTTTATTTGTTTCCGTTTTGTTTTAATTTTCTTGCATAGATTACTTTGATAATTTCTTAATATATGTACCTATCTGTCCTTTTGCCTTTCTTCTGTAATAAATTTGTTGATGCTATGATTAGAAAATATTTTATCAGTAAGAAATTTACTGTGTTGATCTGATTTTGTTGTTGTTAATGATTCTTTTATTCTATTGCCTTTGATATTAAGAAGGTAATGTTTGACAGGGTGTTTCTAAGAATACCTTTTTTTGCGTAATTTCTTGTAAGACAGATCTGCTTCTATTGTGACAGATGTTGACTGACTTGGATCCCTCCTACTGATGGTCTGACTCACTGCTATTTGACTTGTTTTAACTCAAGACTGTTCATTAATCTGGTATAACTTCTTGTGGTACATTCTTTTTTTTTTTTTTATCTTTTAATTCTATTTTTCCATGAACTTTTTGAAGTACCCTTATATATAACCAGAAGATTAGTATCAATATGAAAAAGATGCATTACTTATAAAAATGGCAAAAGATATGAACATGCAATTAACAGGAAACAAATGAACAAAAATATGAATATATTGCAATATCATTAGTAAATAGGGACATGTAAATTAAAACCACAGTGAGATACTATTACATAAGTACAGTTTTTCTATGAAATTTCTTTTTTTTTTTTTACATTTAACTTGGTTTTTTTTTTTTTAATTTTTTTTATTTTGTCAATATACAATGTAGTTAGTTATTGTGTCCCATCACCAAGACCTCCCTCCCTCCTCCCTCTCCCCCCTCCCACCCAGATGTGTCCCCTCCATTTTCTCATTGTAAAAATATGGAACGCTTCACGAATTTGCGTGTCATCCTTGTGCAGGGGCCATGCTAATCTTCTCTGTATCGTTCCAATTTTAGTATATGTGCTGCCGAAGCGAGCACTTGTGGTACATTCTTAATTGGCATTAAGAATTTATTGTTATCTTTATTGTTATTAGAATAACAATACAGTGACTCCTAAATTTCTTTTTGCGTCTAGGAATAGTGTCTAGGGAAGAATCCCAGTGCCTAAATATCAAGAAAAGAAACTAAGAGGGTGTACTTTTTAGAAAAGCACTTTATGGGCATACTTGTTATTATTTTATTTTATCATCACAAGCAAAGAAGTCTATCTAGAAAAGTATCTAGACGTTGGAAATAGTTGTGATTCTTTTAGTTGTAAATAACAAACCCAGTTTAAGGAAAAGGGAATGTATTTGCACAAATGAAAAATTTGTGAAGACTTTTGGCTTCTGTCATGGCTGGTTCTAGGGTCTAAGTGATACTGTCCAGGCTCTGTCTCTCCATTCCTTGCCTCTGCTTTCCACAGCTTTGGCCTTATTCTCAGGCATACTCTTTCCAAAGGAGAGAGAGATTGCCACCAGCAGCTTAGGGCATATGTCCATTTTATAGCTCAAAAGCTAAAAGGAAGAAAACTTATATACCTACTATTCATCCATAAAAATTTTATGAAGGAGGGCTTGCCGGTTAGCTCATTCAGTAGAGTGTAGTGCTGGGGGAAAAAAAAATTCATGAATGGCTCCAGTAGTCTTTTCTTGGATTGCGTGCCTACTTCTTTGACCAATCATTATGGAAAAGGGCCCTCTTGATGATAAGTCATAATAGCCACAAGGGTAAAGGGGAGTTCCTTAAAGGAAGGACTCTGGACAAATAATATATAGTCACTTAAACATTGAACCAATTATAACTTCTTTAGCTGGGGGTATATGAGTTAGTCATTTTTTTTTTTTTAAATTTTAAACAAACTTAATTCACTACATTTTTCTTGCATAAAAATCCTTTGTTGTAGCCACAGCTGGATCCTGGGTCCTCTGCATGGAGACTCTGGTGTGGGTCTTTACAGGATGGTCAGTGAATTCTTGATAGAGAGACTTGGTCTTCTTCCAGAGGTTGAGGATCAGATAGTGGTAGGTCTTGGAGATGGCATCAAAGGAAGCCTTGGTAAAGTTGCTCAGGGTGGCAGTGCAGCCCCTGGCTGAGGTGTAGCAGTCATCAATATCAGCCATCAGCAGCAGCTTCTTGAGTACAGAGGCCAAGATGATGCCAGTGTCTCGGGGGGGTGGGGGGGAGTGCACCAGCACAGAGCTTCAGTGGCCTGTCACTTTCCAAGGGACAGTGTGGGGCTTGCCAATCTTGTTACCCCAGTAGCCTATCCACATAGGGACAATAGAGAGCTTGGCCAGGATAATGGCCCCTGGTGGTGGCTACCTCACTGAGGCACTTAACTCCCAGACCGACTTGGCCATTGTAGTTCCTGATGGCAGCAAATGCCTTGAACCTGGTCCTCTGTCCAGCACAGGTCTGCTTTTGCACCAGTTTAATCTTCAAAACCTCATTCTTGAAGGATGGTCCAGGAAAAAGTCATTGATCTCAGACTCCTTTTGGGGGGGGGGTGGTGGCTGGCCTGTAAGGAAATCTGAACCCGAGACATTGGTATTACAAGACTGTGCTCTAATCAACTGAGCCAACTGGCCAGCCCTCAGACTCCTTTATGGGCAAGGAGAAGAAATAGATCTCATTCAGGGACTTGATCTTCATGTCCTTGACCAAGTGGTCCAGCTTGGTGATGGGGATCCACTTCTGGTCCTCAGCTTTGCCTCTGTGAGCTCCACAGACCGAGGCCGTGATGCTGGCCCTGGGTGCTGCTGCTGAAGCCTCCTCAGAGGCCTCCGTGGCCTCTCATTTCAGGGCCCCTAGGGCCCAGGCCCTCCTGCTGCACTGGTGTCATCCACCATTTGGTGTTCTTTCAGAGAAGAAGCAGTCACCATTTTAATTTCTGTTTGTGTTAGTCAAGCAGAAGTTTGGCCGCTGTTTCCCTTGGGCCTCTACCTGTCTTCTGCTCTTGGGTCAGGTGTTGGGCATACACAAATATTGTGGATATGCAACTCATGCCATTTTGATAGCTTACTAATTTAAAGCTTCACTGAATAGATTCCTAGAAATGAGATTCATATTTACAATAACATGCAGTCTATGATTTGTCATATATTGTCAGAATAAATTACATAAGGCTTTTCATGTCTTCTTTTAGATGGACTAATAGTGCTTTATTTTCTGAGTGTGATTTTTACATAACAATCACAAAGGAAAAATATCTTTTTTTTTTAGCATTTCCCCCTTTTCCTTTTCATGACCAAGTTTCTCTGAAGCCTTGGGCCATAGTCTTTGTCTTCACTAGTTTACTTACTGTTTCTGTTTTCAACCTGTTGTGATGCAACTTCTGTTCCCACAGTTCCCTCACCAGCAGCTCTCTGTTACTAAGTCCATTGGGCATGTTTCCTCACTGTCCTAGTTGACCGCTCTGCTGTATTTGACACTGTTTGCCTCTTTATTCATTAAACTGCCCAATCCCCGCATCTTAGTCAGTTCTGTCTGCTGTAACAAAAATACCGTAGACTGGGTGCTGAAACAGCAGAAATTTATTTCTCACAGTTCTGTAGGCTGGGAATTCCAAGATAACGTTTTTGGCCAACTCGGTAACTGGTGAGGGCTTGCTTCCTGCTGTGCAGATGGCTGTCTATTTGCTGTGTCTTCACATAATAGAGAGAGAGAGAGGAAGTAAGCTCTCTTCTGTCTCTTATAAGGGCACTAATCCCATCATGAGCTTCACCCTCATTACCTAATTACCTCCCAAAGGTCTTACTTCCTAATACCATCCTATTGGGGGTGAGGGTTTCAGCACAGGAGTTTTGAGGGACACAAGCAAGCAGTCCATGCGCCTGCACATGCGCATCTTTACTTTCTGGTCATTGTACTCTGCTGGTTTTCCTACCTGTGTCTACTGCTGTTCTTTATCTTTTATGTATTATTTTCCTTTATCCTTTAAATGTGTCCTGCTGCAGGATTCTGTCTTTCTGTCTTTTGTTCTCTGAACTTCTGCCTAAAATGTCTGATCAAATCCCATTCTCTTGTTACAGTGCTGATTGCGTGTGTCTCATGCCCATGTGTCTAGCTGCCCCAGACCTCTCTAGTGGCTGTCTCATAGACACCTTAAACCAAACATGTAAAAATTGGGCTCATTTTTCCCCCAACCTACTCTTCCTTCTCTTACTCCTCTATTCTCTATAACAGTGACCCATCCATGCAGCTGGCAAAAGCTGGATGCTATGACTCCTGTTTTCTTCTCCTACAACCAACCAAGAGTTCAGCAAGTTGCAGGATACAGTATCAGTATACAACATCTATATGCAAAAATAAATTGTATTTTTATACATTAGCAATGAACAATCTGAAAATGAAGTTAAGAAAACATTTCTATGGGCTGGCCCGGTGGCGCACTGGATAGTGCGCCGCTTGGGAAGCGCGGCAGCGCTCCCGCCCGAGGGTTCTGATCCCACATACGGACCGGTTCCCGCTCACTGGCTGAGCGAGGCACGGGAGCAACACCGAGGGTTGTGATCCCGTTGCCGGTCACAGTCCGGTACGGGCGCGACACTGAGGGTTGTGATCCGTTGCCGGTCACGAAAAAAAAAAAAAAAAAAAAAAAAAAAAAAAAAAAAAAGAAAACATTTCTATGCACAATAACATCAAAAAGAATAAAATACTTATGAATAAATTTAACTAAAGAGGTATAAAACTTATACTCTGAAAACTACAAAATATTGTTAAAAGAAATGGAAAAACACCGAACGTTCATTGATCATAACACTTAACACTGTTAAGATGGTAATACTTGGGCCGGCCCGGTGGCGCACTGCTACAGTGCGCCACTTGGGAGCGCAGCAGCGCTCCCGCCGAGGGTTCGGATCCCACATACAGACCGGCCGCTCACTGGCTGAGCGAGGTGCGGGCGCAACACCGAGGGTTGTGATCCCGTTGCCGGTCCCGGTCCGGTACGGGCGCGACACTGAGGGTTGTGATCCGTTGCCGGTCACGAAAAAAGACAAAAAGGAAAAAAAACAAAAGATGGTAATACTTGCCAAACTGACCTACAGATTCAACATAGTTCCTATCAGAATCCAAGTGGATTTCTTGATAGAAATTGACAAGGAGATTCTGAAATTCATATTGGTAATACTTGCCAAACTGACCTACAGATTCAACATAGATCCTATCAGAATCCAAGTGGATTTCTTGATAGAAATTGACAAGGAGATTCTGAAATTCATATGGGATTGTGAGACACCCAAAATAGTCAAAGCAATCCTGAAACAGAACAAAGTAAGACAACTCACATTTCGTGATTTCAAAACTTACCAGAGCAACAGTAATCAATCTAGTATGGTAATTGCACAAGGGTGGACCTAACAGATCAATGGAATTGAATTGAGAGTCCAGAAATAAACTCATATATCTATGGTCAACTGATTTTCAGTCAAGGTACCAAGATCAATGTGGAAAAGAATAATCTTTTCAACAAATGGTGCTGATGTAATTGGATAGCCACTTGTGAAAGAATAACGTTAGGTCTTTATTTCACCCCATATACAAAATTAACTCAAAGTGGATCAAAGACCTAAAAGGAGCTAAAACTATAAAATTCTTAGAAGAAAACATAGGGGTAAATCTTCATGGCCTTGGATTTGGCAAATGATTCTTAGATATAACGAAAGCATGATTGACAGAAGAAAACACAGATAAATAGGACTTCATCAAAATAAAAAGTTTTGTGCCTCAAAGGACAACATCAAGAAAGTGAAAAAACAGCCCAAAGAATAGGAGAAAATATTTGCAAACCATTTATCTGGTAAAGGACTGTATCTAGAATATATAAAGAGTATTTATAACTCAATAATAAAAGGACACCCCAATTAAAAAAATGACCAAAAGATCTGGATAGACATTTCTCCAGTGAAGATATATAGATGGTGAATAATAAGCACATTTAAAAAAAAAATACTTGACATCATTAGTCATCAGATAAATGCAAATCAAAACCACAAGGAGATACCACTTCACACCCAGAATGATAGCTAGAATAAAAAAGATAACAAGTGATGAGTAGGATGTGGAGAAATTTGATCTCTCATACACTACTGGTGAGAATGTAAAGTATGTCTGCAGAAAAACTCGTACCTGTATGTTCACAGCAGCATTATTCATACTAGCCAGAAAGTTAGAAACAATCCAAAGGTCTATCAACAGAAGAACAGATAAAGGTGGTATGTCTGTACAATGGAATATTATTTGGTATAAAAAGGAATGAGCTCCTCATACATGCTACAACATGGATGAACCTTGGAAACATGCTCAGTGAAAGAAGGCAATCACAAGAATCTACATGTTATATGATTCCACTGACGTGAAAGTCCAGAATAGGGAAACCTATAGAGACATAAAGTAGTCCCTTTCAGTTTAGCATGTGTGGGGTGGTGATAGCTAAAGGGTATGGGGTTTCTTTTTAACATGATGAAACTGTTCTAAAATTGACTCTAGTGATTTACACATATTTATGAAAACCATCGAATTGTGCAGTTTAAATGGATGGATTGTGTGTTATGTTAATTATATCTCAGTAAAAGTATTTGAAAGGAAGAATTGAAGTGCTATTCTGATGTAAGCCCATTGTACCCATTGCTTACTCTTGTTTATTATTACTTGTTTGTGTGAAATACCATTTACTTGTCTATCTTGTCAAGTAGAGTACAGGGTCTTGAGAACATTTTAGGTACTGTAGGTGTTACATATTATGGTCATGATATGTTTATTACAGGCTTAGCCAGAAAAAAGAACAACATAACATAAAATATATATTGAAAACTGCAGAATTGGAAGTAACAGATGTTCGATTAAATGGCTATGAAATCTAACTATGTTAATTAGGTAATGTGGAATGTGAGTACAGTGTATTATATTTGACATAATGTCAGAAGGCAAGAATACTAGGATTATACATATGAAAAAGAGCAAAGACTATTTTGGTAACTGTGGTACACTGAGTTATTGGAATGTAGTAATGCTCATGCACTGAACTTCATACAGAAGAAGTTCCAGCTACAACTTGTAAAAGAATAAAACACTCAGGGCTACATTTTAGAAGTCTCCTACAGTATGTGTGCCTCCCCAAACATGTATGGCCCTGATGTGTGGGTGTACAATCCTGTTTTTGTGGGTATATAAGCCTGTTTTTGTAGGCTTTATATACTGGCCTGTGCTTTAGGAACTTGTGTATATGAATGATTTACTCATTACAGGTTATTGTCTGATTTAGACTATACATTTTTTGTTCATTTTTCTAGCATTCAGTGGATAGTGTTCACAGTACTTTCACATAAGACATGTAGTTAGCCTGCCCCTATTTAGTAGACACTTTCAGTAATCTACTTACCTTGTAAAGAATGAACAAGTTGAATTTGTCAAAGTAATGATTCAAAATAAACTAAACAGGCCAGCCCCGTGGCTCACTCAGGAGACTGTGGCGCTGGTAGTGCCGAGGCCGCGGGTTCGGATCCTATATAGGGATGGCTGGTGCGCTCACTGGCTGAGTGTGGTGCAGACCACACCGTGCCACGATCCCCTTACCAGTCCAAAAAAATAAATAATAAATAAAATAAACTGAATAGGTCTATATATAAACAGGATTATAAATGAAATGCTTCAGATACACTGAAGAGTAAGCTCAATATACACATTGAAAAAATGCACCTTGGGTTGCAATAGGCTAATTATTTGTTTATTTGAAATATGTTTTTTACTTATTAGCATTATAGTACAAGTGATGCTAAACACATAAATTAAAATATTCTTTAATTTCTGAACAGCTGTGCTCCCCCCACTCCCTTTTTGGTTAGATTGGGGGAAGGTGGTGTGACTTATTAAAACTTAAACCATGAGCCTAAATGGCCTCTGCATATCCAACCTTTATGTTGGGTAGACTTTTAGATACTTTCACAGAGTTAGTGATGAATTTCTCTACTGGTATACATATGGGAAGTACATTCAGTCAGAAGCTGGTTTGTATGTTTTATTCTCTAAAGAAAAATATAATTATGATATTAAAGCAAAGGGTACCAAGTAAAAGTGTAAATGTTTAAAACATTTGGTCTCATAATAAAATATTGAAATAATAAATTATAACTTTTATTCCTTAGGTTTTACCAATTCTTGAGATTCTGTATCATGTTGAAGAAAGAAATTCACACCATGTGTATATGGCCCTTATAATATTGTTGATTCTTACAGAAGATGATGGCTTCAATAGATCCATTCATGAAGTGGTAAGTTACCATTACTTTGATTAGCATTTCTTCTGTCTTTTCCTTTTGGTAGATGTTTCTGTGAGAACCTGAAATTAGAAATGGTATGTTTCTTTAGATGTATGAAATGGATCTTTTTTTTTCCCTGAACAACTATTAGCCACTATTAAAAACTCTCTGAAAATCGTTCCTTAATAATTGATGCAAATGTTTTTGCTGTTAGGGGGTTCATTTTTCTTCTCCATTTCAATTTCACTTTTTAGTTGTGGCAGAATTTGTTAAGCATTTTTCTCCTTACATACAAAATGAGAGAAGGAAGAGGGAACGAAGGGGAGAAGGTTGAGAAATTGCTTTATATTTTTTTGAAAGAGAGTAACAGAACTTCTTTAAATTTTGGTCATTTTGGAGAGTTCTATTTCCAAACTAGTTTTATCTAACTCTTTGGCATTTTCTTTGTGTCAAAACAATACACATACATAGTTTTAAAACTTATGTAGAACTTGTACCGGCCAGCCACCAAAAACAAACAAAAACTTATATAGAAGTACAAGGTTTTAATGAAAAATAGCAGAGCTGTGTCTACCCTATTCCTGATTCCTACTCCCCTAAGACAAATGCTTTCAACCTGTCCATGTTTCTAAGTAGTATGTTTATGCTGTTATTTCTTGATTTTTCAGATGTAGATATTAACTGTTACCTTCCTAAGATGGAAGATGCATCATTAGCTCTTCTTCCTGCAGACCATGCACGTTCCTTCTGGGTGCCCAGTGCATTTGCCATCACATAGACTTTCTTTTCCATGTTACTGCCATTTTTGATTAACTTTGGCTTTTACATTATTATGCTTTTCTTAACTATTATTCCTAGCTCAGGAATGTAGTGTAGGATAATTGCATTTCCTTTCTTTTACACATTTTACTATTTCTGTAGCACATCATTGCCCTGTTTTTTATTTATGTACTAACCGCTAATTCAACCCCCAGTACCTCAACAGAACTGAGAATCCCCTCAAAATATATTTAAACATAATGCATTTTCTTCTTGGACTCTGTCTTTGGCCACATTGCAGGCTTTTCCTCAAGTGTCTAGTGCTCCTGGCTGATGTGTTCCTCTGTAGTAGTAAGCACTACAGTGGCTGGGTGTATTTACTGTACCTTGCTCTATGTAGTCTCTTTCTCTGGAACTCTTACTCTGTGGTCCTTTTCTTATGGGTGATTCTTAAAGGACTCTTCCAGTCTCCTCTCTGGGTTGGGGTGGGGGTATCTAGTAAGAGAAAGGGGCAGGGCTTTCACTTGGAAATTATTACCTCTGTATGGAATTATAACTGTGGACCTAATTGTCTTGTTTTCTGTAATTTTCTTAACAAACTATTTCTGAACCCTGTTTTGCTCACCTTCTCACGTTTGAAAATGAATGTTTTTATTTTCTCTTTCACACCTCATTCCATTACCCTTTAGTGAGAAGAAACAAATAGAGAGACTCACTAACTTGTTTCTTTCTCTAGATTTGGGAGTTTGGGTCAGAATATCAGGATTTTGGCAATTTTTCTGAGGAACTATTAGAAGGTAAGATAGGATTCAGAGTTAAGCATATGCATCTTGGCCCTGTTTTAATTTTCTCTCATTATCAGTCAGAGACCCCAATACACCTATTATTTATAAGCCCAAGCATACATTATATTTTTTATCACTTCTTTTTACCATTTGGATAGCCTAAGATTTGTAATACATATATTGTTTAATGGTCCATATTTACTTCATCTACTCAAAGAAGAGTATCTGTTTAATTAGTATGTAGGACCAAGATTAGTATGACATTTGGTATAAATTCAGTAAGCATTTAGTGAGTGTATACTATCTGCTTGTGTTAACAGTTAAATGAATTTTAAGATGCAAGTCACTTTTTTAGTATAGTTCAAGGCTTTTACTTACCAGATAAATAATGTGCTTTTATTCTGTTTTCCAAATCATAGAGGTGGAGTTTAAGGATATTAAATTTGGGCTCTAGCCTGTTTGTTCAGTCTGCTACTCTTCTAAATCAAGACTTTAAAATTGTGATTTCACAATTCCTACCTGTTTTCCTGCCTGGAGTTGTGACACATTCATTCCTTTTGGCATTTCTTTCTCTTTTCTGATCCTCTTTCTATCAAACATAGAAGTGCTTACACTTTATTTTTCTACAGTTACACCAGGTTTATAGCACTGTGGCATGCCCTCTCCTGTAAAGTGTTTTTCCACAGGAGCAGGCAGCCTGGTGGGAACCCCAAAGATACTGCCATAGGACTGTCTACTATTGAGTGTTGTTTTATTCTCTTATCTTCTTGCTCCAATCTGGTGACTATAATGTTTCTTGCACTGAGGTTCTTTCTTCTCCTGCCCACCTGTTACTTTTACTCTATAAAATATTTGTATTTTTGAAATTATACCCCATCTTTTAATTATAGATTAGTTTCTATTTGAGCCTGATTTAAAAAGTCCATTTATGGGGCCGGCCCAGTGGCGCACTGCTATAGTGCGCCGCTTGGGAAGTGTGGCGGCGCTCCCGCCGAGAGTTCAGATCCCACATACAGACCGGCCGCTCACTGGCTGAGCGAGGGGCGGGGGCAACACCGAGGGTTGCCATCCTGTGGCCGGTCCCGGTCCGGTACGGGCGCGACACTGAGGGTTGCGATCCGTTGCCGGTCACGAAAAAAGAAAAAAAAAAGAAAAAAAAAAAAAAAAAGTCCATTTATGCTCTTATACATTTAAAGCTTTGCAGTATGTTTTCTGTATTCTAACTTATGGTGTATTTAGCCAGCCATTTATGTATCATCTACCTTGGATTTAAAATTTATGATGCATTCTGTTTTTCATTTGATATATAAAATCTGCATACGATAATTTAAACTTAGGTTAATTAAAGCGAGTGGTTACAGAATGTACAGATATAGAGTAATTAATGATTTTTATTTATGAACTGTAGAACTAATTCCTATTTAAAATTAATGTCTACACAGAATAAGTAACACAGTATACTGCTTCTAGAAGTCCGGTTTATAGTCTTTCATACTAAGATTTACAATTTTATTTTATTTTATTATATTTATTATTTTTTTTATTTTGTTGATATACAATGTGGTTGATTATTGTGGCCCATTACCAAAACCTCCCTCCCTCCTCCTTCTAAGATTTACAATTTTAAATACAAATAAATTATATTACATTTGTTTGAGGGTGTAAGTCTAAGTAATTTAAGTCTAGATTTTACTTTTTGGCTGAAAGTTTTGCTCATCACAAACATAGCTTAGGACATTGCAACCAAGATTTAGAGGATATGATTCTTTTCAAGTACATGTAGAACAGTTGCCAAAATTGATCATATGTTAACCAGAAACAGGTCTCCACAAATTTTGGATGATGAGAATTATATATAATAAATTCATAAATCTTACCAGAATGTTTTGATTATTTTTTCAATATTTCTGCTTGGAATGTTGAATGTTTTCTTCCTCTCAAAGAAATGTTGTATTGTTAATTTTTCTATTTTTCTTTTAGTCTGTTACTTCTGGAACTCTTATGAAGTGGATATTAGACCTCCACTTTTCTCTTATAGTTTCTGTGAAGAACTTCTCACTTTGGTCTTTTAAATCACAAATTCAGTTTTCCATAGTGCTCATTCTGCAAATTTTTCTCTCTCACCCAAATTTTAGCCATCATATTTTTGATCTTAAGCAATTTTTCTTTGTTCTCTGATTTTCCCTTTTCATAGAGCATGTTCTTATTTTTATGGATGCAGTATTCTGTCAAATCTCACCAAATATACTAATTAGAATTAAAAAAAAAATCCAGCTTCCTACATCATCTCTGTTTAATTGGAGGTCTCTTTGCTTTGCTTTTTCTGTTTCACAATTCATTATTTGGTTAGTAGACTTTTTATTATGAACACTATCAAACTTAAACATCATTGGAGAAAATAGTAGAATGAATCCCCATGTACTCATTGGCAACATTTTGCTGTTCTTATTTCATCTGCCTTTACCACTTTTTACATTTTGGCAATAGTCTTTTTAAACAAATCTTATAAATCATATGTATTTGTATATAATTTCACTGGTAAGTATTTTAGCAAGTATGGACTTTTTAATATATAACCATAACACCATTAGTACATCCAACAAAATCAACAGTAATTTTTGAATTCCTACTAATACTCTATTTTCTCCAATTATCTTTTTTTAAATTTTATTTTAATTTACACATTGTAATTATGCACACTTATGGGGTACAATCTGATATTTTGATACATATACATGTTGTATAATAATCCGGTCGAGGTAGTAAATGTATCAGTCACTTCATATATTTATCATTTCTTTGTGGCAAAAACATTCAAAAGCCCCTGCTCTAGCTATTACATAAGACACAAAGTTGTCACCCTACCGTGCAATAGAATATCAGAACTTATTCCTCCTTCAGTTATCTAAAATCAACTGTAAAAAGACATCCGTTTGAATCAAATTTTAAAGTTTACTTATTACACTTTAGTCCTTAAGACTCTTAAATGTATAATAGTCTCTCCCCCTCCCTCTTACTACACCACTGATTTGTTGAAGACACTGGGTCATTTGTTTAGCAGAATTTGTCTTTGGCTGATTATATCTTCATGTTATTTAACATGTTCTTCTATCCTCTGTATTTCACATACAGCTGGTAATTAGAACAGAGCTTTAATTAGGTTTGGCATATCTTTTAGGTTGTTGAATTTCTTCACCTTTTGTTATGTGTTTGTTGTCTATCCGTAGTTATAAATGCAAGTCTGGATTCAATGGTTTGGAAGGTGGTGGGACCTCCCTTGGCAACTGTGAATGATGGAGGTCTGCTGTGCTTTTGGCATATCTTTTAGGTTGTTGAATTTCTTCACCTTTTGTTATGTGTTTGTTGTCTATCCGTAGTTATAAATGCAAGTCTGGATTCATTGGTTTGGAAGGTGGTGGGACCTCCCTTGGCAACTGTGAATGATGGAGGTCTGCTGTGCTTTGCAGATGACTATATCTTCTCAGTTGAGAAGCAAGACTCAGCCCTGTCTCTTCCTATTTCAGGCATAGATAGAAAAGAATGTGGCACATTGGCTCTCCATGAGTCAAAGAGAAAGGATATAGAAATAACCTTAATGGAAGAGAATATTAGGGATTTCTAGTGCTCAGTGAAGCCTGTTTTGGTTTGTGGGGTTTTTTGTTGTTGTTGTTGTTTCTTTTTATGTACTTGTGATAGCCCATAATTGGCTGCTGTGCTGTTCGGTTTTTGTGTCTGTCTGATACCCATGTTACAAATCTACTGTGGAAATGTTTCAACTTAATTTAGAAAACATTTAAACATTGGCCTCTCCTAAACACAAGCGTGGAGGTTTTCTGCAATCTGTTGGGAAAGCTCTACTTGCTTTTCTAGAAGCACCTAGCTTTCCTTATTTTTGCTTTCAAACTGCTAAGCTCTGATTGGTTTTTCTGCCACTTTTATCAAACTATGTGCCATATCTCTTTCAGATACAATTGCTTGTCTACTAATGATATCCACACTTGTTTTTTTTTTTTTTTTTCTTCTCTCATTAAGGAGGAAGGAAAAGTAAACACATCAGCACAGTTTGCTTACTTGAACTGAAAATCCCACATTTACTTCTGTGTACTGCTTAATTCATCTTCGGAGCAAAGTCATGACTTCTCAAAAACTGTGGACATGGAGTAATTTTTTTTTCCTTAAAGCAATCATTTTTACTTAAATTTTTCTTTCTCATTACAGATATTAAAAAATATTACTTGGTATTCAGAACGGATTTTAACTGAAATTTCATTAGGGAGTCTCCTGATACTAGTCGTAATAAGAACCATTCAATACAACATGACAAGGACAAGAGTAAGTATTCCATAGCTGTTTTTCTATCTTTTCACATATAGTAGAATTAAGACTATGGTTTAAAGCAATTCCAAGTTTTAGAGTGCCAAAATTCTCATGAAATATGGTGGAAAAATACAGATCAGCATATAGTCACTGTATTACATGATTCTAATGTAATATCTGTTTGTTAATGTTTCATGGTTGTATAATCAAAAATATCTTACATGAAACAGAAAATAAACAGTGCTGCACATTTAGACAAAAGCTACTGTATATCTTTGGAGTGATAACACTGATTTGCCTTTTAAAAGCAGCAAGAACAGAAATTAAGAAGATATGAGAAAATATGAATTCAGATGGGAAAGAAAAGTCAATGAGAGAGAATACAGAGTAAAAAATTTCTACTGGATTCTGTTTATAGTAACTGGAAGCAAATTTCAGTTCTGGTCCACAGAAATAAATTGTCAAAGAGAAGCAATCTATAGAATGCACAGTTAAGAGAAGTGCTCCACTTTTCTGAACTGTTTTCAGTTATTTCCCTCTGTGGAACTAATGTAGATGCATGTACATATTTTTTGCCTGAAGCCCTAGGAGCCAGATGTCTTTTAGAATGGAGGCTTTTTTGGATTTTAAAAAGATAATTACAGTGTATATGCTGTACTATGTGTAACCATTAAGGTCTGAAGCAGCACACTGTAATTAAACATTAGTATTTCTGCATCAAAATATTTCAATATTTAACGTGGTGAGAATAACGAAGACTACCAATAGCATCATAATTTTTTGTGTCAGGTGTTGCTTCCAAACGAATTGTGAAAAAACTGAATTTTCTGTGCTTTATGGATTTGGGAATTAGAGAAAAGGGATTGTGGATCTGAACTTTCTAAAATCAGTAACAATTGAGTTTACATTTGCTTCTAGTTAATTTTTCTTAAAATATAGAGAAGCCTTGATGTATGTCTTAAACTTGCTGTTTTCTAACAGGACAAGTACCTTCACACAAATTGTTTGGCAGCTTTAGCAAATATGTCAGCACAGTTTCGCTCTCTCCACCAGTATGCTGCCCAGAGAATCATCAGGTAAATATAAGCTTTAAAAGAAATAATGATTTTTGCTTTGTGGCTGACCTGTTGAGAAGGATTCTGTGGTGGTCCCTTTTAAATGTTATCTGCACGGAATATCAAATTTTCTTGCTTAATTTTTATCACCTTCTTGTTTGATTGCATATATCTTGTTCTGTTTTGTTTTCTAACCCAACTTGTCAATCAAAGTTAATTGTATTTACTTTCAATCTTTTAATAGAATCTAGTTTAAGTGCTGTGTGTTACCTTTTTACAGAGGAGCAGGTATATTTCTTAGTAATGCAGACTAAATGTTAACATATTTGCTGAGCATTTTATAGAGCATCACAGACTTTGAAGGAGTTATCTGTGTTTGTTTTAGAGAATTCTTTTCATAGCAGTTTACCTTTGTATTAGTTTCCTTTTGCTGCTGTAACAAACTAACACAAATTAGCTTAAACCAACACATATTTGTTATCTTACAGTTCTCTAGGTTAGAAGTCCAATGTGGGTCTCACTAGTCTAAAGTCAAGATGTCAACAGGGCTGTGTTCCTTTCTGGAGGCTCTAGAGGAGGGTCTACTTTTTTTTTTTTTTTGTCTTTTCTAGCTGTTAGAGGCTGCCTGCATACGTTGGCTCTTGGCCCCTTCCTCCATTTTCTAAGCCAGCAGCAGTAGGTTTTCTCACATCTCATCACTCTGACCTCCTCTTGTGGCTACCTCTTCCACTCTGGTGACTCTTGTGTTTTTCTTGGCCCTACCCGGATAACATACAGGATAATTTCCCCATCTCAAGATTGGAATCACAACCGCAAAGCCCTTTTTGCCATGGAAAGTGACATATTCACAAGTTCAAGGAATTAGGATGTGGACATTTGGGGGAGAGCCATATTCGTATAACTTCGTATAATGTATGCTATACGAAGTTATGCCGAAGAGCCATATATTCTGTCTGCCAGAAACCCCTGTCTCTTCCCCACACTTTGCCAAACACACGATCTTTAAGGGTATGAAAGCTGTTTAATCAGTCATGAGTGAATATCATTTGCAGAGGTCTTTAATATATGCAGGAGCTTCTTTACCTTCTGATAGGCTGCTCAGTATTGTCCTAGCAGCTCTTGAGTAGAACATTTTTTATATGAGTCAGTGAGGTCATATTGTTTCCTTTAATTTATGCTTTTAGGGAAATGCAGTTTTGATCATTGGTTTTTATTTTCCAGTTATTGGTGGTGATCACAACTCCATATCTCTTATAGCCCCTGATCTCACATTCTGTCCATTGGCTAGACATTTAATAACCTGGGCTCATTTTTAACTATTATTCAGAAATAACTTACTTTCTTCATCTGTTTATTTATCTGCAGTATTTAGGAGACAATATTTTGCATTGACTCACTTTTTAAATTTATGTCTGGTTTTAATACATTCTATTAGTTTGTTTTTTGGGTTTGTACTTGAGAGATAGTCTGGTTGGCTGATTTTGGACTAACAGAACTTCATGATTTAAAGTAAACATAGCTGTCTTCTCATATCTTGGAGTCTTCTGGTTAATTCTGGAGAACCTTTCGTTTCCAGAAGTTGACGTTTTTCACCATTCTTTATTTCAGCATGACAGTTTTAGTGATTTCTCTGCTGCTTTTTGGTCTGTTTTACTGTCTGTGTTTGTGGAGTTTTATAATGGTTTCATGAAGATTTCATTATAAGATTAATTTTCCTTAATGAACATTTGGTCTGTTCACTATGAAAATGCCAAATGAGCTGATTCAGAATTGAAGTTATGATAAAATGTATTAAGCAAAATTAAATAAAAAATTTCTAGATGTAAGAATTGGAAGAAAAAATGCAAATAAAGCATTGTGCCCAATTTTTTATCTGTGATGACAAAACTAGAAAACAAACCAATCATATTTGAAGAAATAAGAAACATAATTTAGATTTGTGATGTGGGAATATTTAAATTTATCTAAATATTGAATATACTACTCAATAATGAGTAGTGCTTTACTTCATTTTAGTGGATTTTTATTTAGCATTATATGAGTGAGGAACTATGTTAAGCAATACAGGGAATATCAAAATTAATAATAAATGTTCTTGCCCTCACATAGCTTACAGTTCAGTAGCAAGGATAAGATAAGGACCCTATCCTTGCACATATAAGATACAAGGATCTCATATACAGCAGAATGTGGTAAATATCCCAGTGAAAGAAAAATTCCTACAGTGGGGGGGGTGAGTGAGTGGTTCAGAGAATGGTGAGATCACATCTCGTTGAGAGATTAGGCAGAGAGGAATGGCATTAGAAACTGCACTGATAGGGAATAACGTCAATCACAACCAACCAAACCAAAACAAGAGAGGATGTGCTAAGAGAGGATGGTTTACATGTAGATAATAACCAGTATCATTTAATTGGCATGTTGCTGATGTGTATAAGGATTATAGGCGAGAAGCCTGAAAGAGTGAGCAGGGGTCTTATTGTGGCAGGGCATGGTGTTAGACTCACAGTTTAGGATAATGGAAGGAATAGAGAGAGAAAGGAAGATCTGGTCTGCGATAACAACAAAAAAGAAAATGTGAGTTAAATGAGTTATAAATGGATTTTGAAGGAAAGAGTTTAAGGTGAATTTCCAGGGTCATCCATTTCAGCAGGTGACTCATGCTCTGTTTGTCACACTGAGAGAAGTGCAGTTCCAAAAAGTTCCCAAGTGCTGCCAATGCTTCTTTTCCAAGGACCACATTTGAATGGCCAGTAAGCACCAGAACATCCGTGTTATCCAGGAGGGAGCTTGTTAGAGACACAGAGTGTGGGCCTTGCTTCAGAAACACTGAATCAGAATATTCTTTTTAACAAGATCCCCAAATGATTTGTATGCACATTAAAGTCTGGAAAACACTTTGAGTTTGGGCCTGGAAAACAAGATTTATTCCCTCAGAAAACACTTGTCTTGAGTTGGAAATGGGGCCTAGCTTTTTTGTATCTTGAGAGAACTCATTTTCTATTACATGTTTGTGTTTAGTGTGTGGAATGGTAAAGCATAAGAAATGCCTAACAAAAACTGTTTAGACACATAGAAGAGTCTGTATTATAGCAGTGCAACTCAAGATTCACCAGATGCTCTGTAACTCCTTTGAGTGGGAAGTAATCAGTTTTCACATACACGTTTTCTAAATCCTCTTTTAGGAAGACTACACAATTTTTAATCTGTCAGTTGCAAAACTTAGAGGAGCCAGTCTGTCTTGTGATCTTCAACAAAATGCAAAACAGAATAACATGTTTCGATGCTATGAAAGGATTTGAATAAAGTTTTTAAAAACGTTCTTACCTGGGCATAAATGTAAGGATCAATTTCTTGTGGTGTCTAGGCTATTGTTTTTTTTTGGTTTTTTTTTTCCTTTTTTGTCTTTTTTTGTGTCCGGCAACGGATCGCAACCCTCAGTGTCGCGCTTGTACCGGACTGGGACCGGCAACGGGATCGCAACCCTCGGTGTTGCGCCCACACCTCGCTCAGCCAGTGAGCGGGAACCGGTCTGTATGTGGGATCCGAACCCTCGGTGGGAGCGCCGCCGCACTCCACACGCCACCGGGCCGGCCTAGGCTATTGTTTATATTTAATGACAATACATCTTTTACAGACTCTTGGTGTCTGAGAAAAATTATATACAGATATGATCTGTTCAACTTTATGAAGTCTTTTTAACATATTATAAGCATGGATGTTTGATTTATTTATTATGTGGGATTATGAGGTTATTAATTCAGTTTAAAAACTTTTATAAAGAGTAGATTATATGCAGAGGATTATTGTGGGTTACAAAGATATTATTTAATACCTGCCCTTAAGACTTTTCCTTGGGCTGGCCAGTTAGCTTAGTTGGTTAGAGCGTGGTGCTGATAACACCAAGGTCCAGGATTCAATCCCTGTATGGCCAGCAGCAGGAAAAAAAAAAGACTTTTCCTTATTTCCTCTATTCTTTCCTTTGGCTTCTCTTCACCCATGGCTTAACAGATAGTTTCTCTAGCATCTCATTCTGTCTTGTTTTTTTCTTTGTTCAGTCGTTACACATTTTCCCTGGGAGATCACATATATGCCTATGACTTCACCTACTGTCTAATCGTTTACTGAACACCACCGAAATCTAAATTTATAATCTAGATCTTTCTTTCTCTTTCACTATACTGGCAGCCACTATAGTACGAGTATTATGAGTAAGAGCACAGACTCTGTAGACTGTCAGAGTTTGGGATCCCAGCTCCAAAACTTACTAGCTATGGAGATGTCATTTAATTTTTCTATGCAGCAGTTTCCCCATCTGTAAGATGGGGGTGACAGTAGTTGCTGTCTCAAAGGATTATGGTGAGGATTAAGTCATTAATATTTGTAAAAGGCCTGGCACATAATGTGTGCTCATATGTGTTAGCTAGCTGAGCACTGGCTTTACTAGATTCACTACCAGGATATCCCATACTTACTGCAAACTTTTATTATGTTTAAAACTGAAGAAACTCATTTTTAAACCTACTCTTCCTTTTAAATTCCCTATCCTACATCATGGGTCTTACCACAGCCACCTAAATTTGCCAAGCCAGAAACCTGCAAGTAATTCAGTGACATTTCTCTCTGTCAAATTCTGTATCTTGTTCAGCCTTGATGTTGTGTCTGACCCTGCTGTTGAAACTTGCATTCATACCCTCTTTTCTGTCTCCATTGCTATTGCCTTGATTCAGGTGTTCACCGTCTTTACCCAAACTATATTAGTAGTCTGCTGGTCTTTCTGACTCTCTCTTCACCCCACCACAATCTCCCTCTACACCACTGCATCCATGTGAAAAGCAGATCTGATCCTATTGCTTCCTTTGCTTCAAATCATTAAATGGCTTCCCACTGCCAGGAGGTTAAAATCCAATCTGCTTAGAGCACTGGCGCTCCACAGAGGGTGATTTTGTCCCCAGGGGATATTTCACAATAGCTGGAGTTGGGTCTTTTTTTTTTTTTTTTGGTTCCCATAACTGGGGAGG